TGTGTTTAACTTTTATTTCATCTGAACGCTTAAGAGAATACAAAATGCTTACATTACAAAAGGAAAGAATTCCTGACTCTCACATTTTGATTGTCATCCCAATGTTTTCTGACCATTAGTTGGTCCTCTTGGAATAGAGTTCTTTCAAGAGCCTCTTTCGTTCCCCATCATGAAAATTCAACAGGGCTTTTCCAAAGACTCTTATGCGTTCTGTAACTCCAAAGATTACAGGAAGCTCTGCGAGTCAAAACTTCCCAGACTGGGGCACAAAAGGAAGGGGGACAGGCCCTCCCCCTCCCCACTTTGCCAAATCACTCAAGGCCAAGTTGGTTGGTAGCATGTGCCAGCTTCTCTTAGGACAACAGATGGGAAAGCAGGAAAAAGGTTGTGGTATGCAGGGAGGAGAGGGCTGTCAGTCCTCCTTTTGGGGCCACGATCCTGCCCTTCAATCCACTCTCCAAACGTGGGTTGTTCTCCGGTTTCCTTGGTGCAAAAGGAAGTTTCCTCCAAATGTAGCTGCAGTTTGTGGGTGTGCAGGCAATGGAGTGTGGTGTATGTGTGTGTACATCTAACTCGCACTCGCAATCCGTGGCCCCCTTCCCCACCACAACTTTCAGCCGCTATTATTCAAAGAAAATACAGACAGGCTAAACGTGTTCACGTGTTTAATATTGCACCTGACTAAAAAGCGGAACGCGTTACAGGACTTCACAACCTTCATTCCGCACACCCCCATCTGTAACTGCAGGACTCGCACGAGTCTTGCAAGAGTCCTACTGGAATTCTACATTTCAGGAACATTTAGCAAGATATCCCCCAAATTTAGCCGATCCCATTGTGCATCCTTATTCTGCAGTACGGGCATGAGTTTAAATCTTACAAAATAACAACAAGAGATAGAAGACACCCACGTGCGTCCCAAAGCAAGCCTAAGGGCTTACTAGGCCGATACAGGAGAAGACTCTTCCGTAGTCCAACTCCGCACGGTCACTACGTGGCTCGTGTTTTTATCCCCCGGCAGCATGATGCGGAGAGTTTTTTGTTTTTGTTCTTTAAGTTATGCCTACCCTTTTCCAGTCACCATCAAGACTAACACGGACAGGGGCAAAGCATGGAGGGAGGGCTTAAAAATGCTGAATAAATACAAGAGATCTATTAAGGTCTACATGTGTTGTGTTCTCACACGCTGATCTAAAGAGAGAAATACCTGCACCCAAAGAACTGATTAGGTAAACTGGAAAACTGCAGAGTTTTGGATTCTGTTATCTGCAGCAGCGTTCCTTGACCTTGGCAACTTTGTGATGTGTGTTTAACACTTCTCAAAGTTGCCAAGGTTGAGGAACACTAGCTGCAGTACTATTCAAGTACCATCTGTCCCATGTGAACCTTTGTAGAACTTTTAAACTGTTACTACGACTACTACTACTACAACAATAATAATAACAATAATAATAATAATGAGCCCATTCAAAAATATTCTCTTTCTGGAGTGATTTCTGCAATGATTTCAAAGCACCCAACCAAAACTAGCAGCAGCCGGATTACTGATTGTAATAGTGATGTAAGCACCAGAATTAGATCTGGAGGTTTTATTTGTCACCAATTTAAAAAGAAAACATTCCCGTTGTCTTCAAGAACCATATGATGAGGCCATGTTTCTATAGACCCCAAATGAAAACGCAACACAGGTGCTAAGGAAAATTCAAAACGGACATTTGTCCACCCTTGAACACAGATCATATAAGTCTTCCTCAAATCAGTCCCTTCCAGATGCATTGGATATTCACATCCCTAATCTCCTAGTCAGCATGGCCAAAATGCCAATACATCTGGAAAACACCAGGCTGGGAAGATTGTGATGTTCTGACTCACCTAATGATGTCCTACTACAAAGATGACCTCTTCTGCATTTAATAATTTTCTTGAAGTGGACATTCTGGCCTAAAATTATACTTCCAATGTATGGCCTGGGGAACCTTCCTAAGAACTATGGTTTCTTGAGCGTGGGTCTTCTTGATGTGTTCCAAAAAACCCCTAAAGCCACCACAGATAATCTGTCATTTAACTGAATTAAAGAAGACAAAACAGCATAGCAGTGCTCGTTCAGCCTTGTTTTCAAAAGTGGAGGTGCAAAACTCCGCATCCACGCTTTTGAGAATTAGCTGTCCCTCTTCCAGAGAATATCAACATTTTTGAACTATCCAGTTTCTTCCTACAAGCTATAATTGGCAATATAAGCTATGCAGCAAGAGCTGGATTTAAAAATAAAGCAAACAAAAATCAGAAAAACCAAATACTCCAGCACCTGCGTAAGAGATGAGGTAGGTGCACAACAAGTGAGTAAGTCCTGGCCAAGAGGTGTTATGAGCCCCATCATGATGATGGCCCGACTTTCAGCCAATCCCCTTTCTTTACAGTCCAGGAATGTGTCAGCAGATAATGCCAGAGGCGATGCTTTGTCCAAAAATCATATCCAGAGTCCATTTCCTAGAAGGATGAACCATAACATCTTGTGGAAAAAGGCTTCTGCACAAACTCAGATGGGTCTGTTTAAACAGAATGCGTGAAAGATCTTGGCGGTCAACAAGGGGATCCTGGGAAGACTAAATAGAAGCAGGTCTCCCTTGGGAGATCTTGTTTCAGCATCCAAATTATCGATGCCTTTTCCAGCAGTTTCTGATATCATTCTTGTAACACTCATGATCGAAAGAAGCTTTTTATTCTCGTACGAAATCTGATCATTTTCAAAAGTGCAAGTTCTCCCAGCAGACAACAAGAACAAGGGAATCCAGATCTAAAAGTTACTTGTCCAAAATGTTAGGAGCTATGCATGCAGTTTACAGTCTTTTATAAAAGCCTCAACAAAGTTGGAGAGTGTTGTTTTTCCCAACGCCACTTCCCTACTGAATAAATGCAGCAACACAGCAAGGGAGAGTGGTAGAAAGTGCATTCCCCCCCCTCCAAAAAGGAGACATGACTATACTCCCCATCGCTAACAGGTTCAAAGAAAAATACAAGCACATCTTTGATATATTTTCAAGAGGTAAAAAAGTGAATATCTTGCCTTATCAGCTCAGCAAATATGCAACAACATTTTTCCAGAAAAGGCACAACGCAGCAGCGTTCACAGCTGAAAGACAACCTGTGGCCCGCAAGTGAATTTTCCCAGCCCAGGTCAGTTCAAGAATAGATCACATTCCTGGTTCTTTTAGCTGGACACTTAGATTGTCCTTGCAAGGATTTAAACGGTCGATAGTCCTTTGGAAGACCAGATCTCCCACTTTCAAAAGCTATCCGAGGGAAGTAAGCAGAATGAAGATCAACACTTCATTTAATCCCATGACAGAGCTGGAATGGCAGAAGATTGAACAACTTAAAAAAAAATAACCCACTAGAGATCAAGCATTTCTTTTGCCAGCTATGTAAAACAAAACTTAAACAAGGCTGCTTGAAGAGGATCAACTCTGAACATCTAAGAAACATAACTGCACCAAAAATTGTGAATTAGCTCACGTGGGTATCAAACAGCTATTCGCAAGTAGGTGCACCCCAGGTGTGGGTGGGCCAGGCTGGCAGCAGATTATGGGATTTGACGTGTAGCACAACTGGAGGGAATCAATTTGAGAGAACCTGGTAGAAAAGGGGGGCCATATATGCCATCCTTCACGTCTCCCCTGCCTCCTACCAGGACAGAACAAATCCCCGGAAAAGGTCTGAATCAGCACATTCACTGGCTCTACCAATGGCGTGAAGTGCAAGTTCTGGAAAGCAGAACATACCCAGGCGAAGTGCACCAATGTGGGGGTCAGACCGAAACATGAACATAGAGATGAGCGACATCTGATCTTCCTTTCTTCACATCCACGGGGGGGGGGGGGTGGGTGGTCAGGGGGGAGGAGGAGGAGCAAATGGAACAAGGCTTATCCTCATGGTTTACAAAGGGTTCAGAAAAACCGCGTCATTCCTCAGAAGTTCCTCAAGGGTTTGTCAAAGGAAAGACTGCTTGCCTTCATTCTGCTGGATGTATCTAAAGCATATTTTCAGATCCAGGAGGCTGCAAATTCAGGGGTTCAGTGGCAAAAAGGGGAAAGACAGGGTGCTTTGAAGGTAGGAAGTTAGAAGACCCAGTCCTGGAAAAGGTGGGGTTCAAAGCCAAGGGAGTGAGAATTTTGTCTTAAAGCTTTTCCTTGTTGCTGATCTCACCTGTCTCATGGGGGGAAAAAACTGGCTTTGCAAATGATGGAGAGCTTTACAAATAACTTACAAAAAGAAAAACTCCCCTTCAAAGTCAGCAAAACCTTTTTTAAACTACCAAGCTTCCCAGGCCTTATACAAAGAACATAAAATAACAAACAGTCTATAGGCTACTCAATTCTCTGCCATACTGTCACGTAAGACTGTAGCCTAAATCTTAGCCAACGTTTGCCTAGAGCATGGCTTAGGACAGGAATGAAATTCAGATAAAAAGAACTGAATGTACACTGTAGAAGACGGCTTCTTTTTCAAATCAGCAATTACTCCAGAGTCAGTAAAATGCATTAGCATCAACTAGAAACATCTGCCGAGTCTTCTCCATCAGCTTCTCTGTAGGATGAACAAAAAATAAATAATCTTCCATCTGGTTATCATTTCTTTTCTTGGTATACACTTGATGGGATGTTGAGACGCTCTATTAATCTTCAGTCGAGGTAAAACGTGTCCTATCTTGTAGATTCACTGTATGATTACTGGCTTAAGTACAGTATTGACTGAAAAAACTATTGACTGGAAAATGTGATGGTCGGTGAAGGTGGCTGAAGCACAAATCCAAAGCCTCCATCACTGGCTCTTAGAGCTTCGAGGAGATGATTTCCTATGAGTCAGGAAGGTCCCACCACAGCAGGAGTGCTGACCATGGTGGTTGGAGTAAAGAGTGCATCCTGTTTCATGGACTCCGCTTGCAAGTTCTTGGAAAAAAGATGCATGTTGGAAGCTGCATATTCCATCACAGTAGAAGCCATTTAGGGCTTCTGCTTCCCCAGTTTGGGAGGAAAGGGTGCAGATGTAAATGGGTCACTAGTGGGCAGTTCTTTAGTCCTGGAAGAAAGAGAGGCAATAGAAACAGACCCAGCTATCACCTGCTTGTTGGTCTGAGATACTACTTTGTAAGCTGCTATGGGTTGGGCGCTGGCCCCCTGCCTGCCTTCCGGACTGTAGTGTCGGGAGTATTTTGTTAAGGACTGCGGATGGAAGGGCGGGCTGGTCTTTGATCCCAAGTGGCCTTCCTGGAGGAGCACGTGTCTTTGGAGTGTATCATTGGGAATGGTGCCAAGTTCTCCTGATGCGCCTTTGGGAGGGTGGGCATCTGGACCTTCACTTGCTCTTGCAGAGCGAGGGGCAGCACTGGAGGGCTGAGCAAATGAGGCCCCGGAATACTGACCTTGAGGAAGGGAGCCGTGTGTTCCCACATCCAGGTTCTGGAACGCAGGGGCACGGGTGTACTGAGCGGCTCCAGCTGAGCCTGTAAATGCTACGGTGGTAGGAGGTTCCTTAACAACGTTGTGAGATGGCAGCTCTTCTTGGCTTTTCTTTTTTGTGAACGGAGCTTTAAGGAATACATCACCTTCATCCAGTTGCTTAGAACACACTTGGTTTTTGGAGAGAAACGGTGCTTTAGTGAAAATGTCCAAGTCATCACAGTGGGTTTTAGAGCTTCGGAAAGGGGCCGTGGCAAAAACATCTCTCTCTTCGGACATTTCCCCAGGTTGTTGTGGAAAAGTGTTGAATAGGACCTGCCCAGGTACATTCTGTGCTGGTTGTAGGTTCAAGTCCTTTTGGGAAACGCTTCCCCTTTCCTGATGTTGGGGGTTCATTTTACAAGCCTCCTCTTCCTCTTCAGAGTCCATCAGCAGAGGTCTGGATCCACTACAATCCAAGATATCTCCCTCATGGTCTGTCCCTTCTCCTTCACTGCTGTGGAAGGAGCTGTTGCTTGAAAGACCATCCCTCACAAAGAAGTCAGGTTCTCCTCCATGGGGACTCTGCTGTTGCTTATTCAATGGCAAGCAACTGGTGGCACCCTGCCCTCGATCGTGCTCAGCGTTGACCATAAAATATGCAGCTGGGTCCCCCTGCAGTCCTACAAAGTGTAAAACAAGAGTGTTACTTGCTAATCGTAAGATTTTCTGGGTAAAACTAAACCACAGAGGTGTAATGGTGTTGGATTTAAAATTAGCAGCACACATGTTGGGAGGAGGAGGGGAGATGGAGGGAGAAATATCTAAAATAAAAATCATACAAAGGTGAAGCCAGGTAGTTACAACAAACAGACACAACTTGGCATTTCTTCACATTTCAAGATTCCACAAAATGTGGGTTAGAAAGAGATGGAAGGTGTTAATAAAACAGACATACAAGCCCCACTCAAGACTTAAAGGATGATGAAAGGGAGGGAGAAATGGTTGTCCCAGACATTACTAGGACATGGTAAGCTTGGTTTTCAAGGAAGGCAAGGTTCTAGATCTCATTATTCAGAAGGGGAAAATAGAAAAATAAGGAGGTCCATTTCTTCTAAATGCTGGAGAAATTGGAAATGGGCTCAGATGAAGCACATGCCAACTGCATTTCTACTGTCTTGTCATGGCTACCCTTGCTTTTCTGTCTTTTGACCTCATGGTCTATAATTTTCACCTCTCCTCTGTCAGACTTTGGGAAAGAAGTTAGAAAAAAAAAGAGCAGATTCAAAATAAAATGTGATTCCTCTGGGGAAAAAATGTTTCAAAACTCATTAACTTTAGAAATGAGGAAGCTTTAGAAATCATCTTATCTGCAAGCCGCCTTTAGGGATGGCCAGCTGTGCTACACAGAAATGCCTTCCACTCCTGAGAGCTACTGAAGGATCAAATCTACTCATTCAAAGTTGCCACTAATCTTGTTTGTGGACGAATGGGGATCAATAACTTGCCTGTTTTGGCTTGCCAGCTTTCTCAAAGAGAAATGGCTATTAATTGGGGGTGACTGCAAGTCTATTGTGATCCTAGCTTGCTGGAACAAGGAACAGGGCCAGATCCACAACAGGGTTGGTTCAGCCCATTCCAAAGCCTGCAGATCTGCACGACTGATGCCTCCCTATCAAAACGGTGGAAGGCATACACGGAAGAACTTGATCTTGCTACACACATGGAAGAGATCAGATGAATCACACACACAGTTATCAGAACACAAGAGAGCTTACCTTCCAAGAAAGAGTAGCAGGTTATCATGTTAGCAAGAGGACAGGAAAAAGGCATATAAAAACTAAACTGCAGAGAACCCAAACCTGAGGCCTTCACATTTGCCACTATCCATAGAAATTATGGGGCACAATTATGGGTACCACTCAAATTTGGAAGGAGAGGGAAGAAGAATTTCTGCTAAATCAGGGTAGGCAGAGGATCATGGTTCACCAGCGGGCTTTGGCCAATTTCTGATGGACCAGCTGAGCTACTACCAGTGTTGGAGCTCTTCTGAAGATGGTAGTGGATGTTCACCTGGTCCACGTAAGCTCTGTGGCGTTCTTAAGCAAAAGTGAACTCTCTGGATCACTTCTAACGCCTCCACTGTGAAGAGATGGGCCTTTATAAATTTAACAAAGGTCTGGAATGCAGGATGTCTAGTTCTGTTTATTTAAATGGAAGCAACTGAGTTTCAATAACACAATTCTTATGGAAGGTCATCAACTTTTAGGAAATGAAACTGCTTCTCACGATCAAAGAGGACTCATAGAACAAGCGTCAGCATTTTATCGACAGATCATTAAACCTTAACCTGTTACATGATAAAATAAAAGCCACGCCAGGTAAGAGGGAGAAATTCCTATGGCATGATGCTTAAAGGTCTTGTACATTTTCTGTAGCTGATTTGTAGTACTCGGCCATCCCGTTTCTCCATTTTTAATTTGCTTACTTGCACTGCAGATCTCACCAACAAAAATCAGAAATAAAAACCACCCAAGAATTTCCTCCTATTCAAGAGTCATTTGTAGCGGAACAGGCAATGTTATACAATAGGCCAGCCTTTGTTTTAACGTTCTTGGATGAACACTACTGCAAACTGTTTTTAATTTATCTTTTGTTCTGAAAGAACAAGAATTCTTAAATCAAATTTCAGCTGTTTGGAATTCCATGGGCAAGAACGAGGATCCTAGAATTATCTTAGACACAAGACCCTTTCATTTGGTTAATTCGCAAATGCTCCTGCAACCCCACCCTCTTGCTAACCAGAGTTCTTTGTTGTTTGCACTAACGTAGACCTGAAAAGATTTTGCCCCCACTAATCCCTACAGCAGGAACGGTCAATCTTTTTGCACCCAAGGCCACTCTTAAAATCTGGGGGAGTCAAGGACTAAAGATGTGAGGGAAACAGTGCCATATCAACCAATGGTAACCCAGGATTCAGCGTTTTTTCTCCCAATTATTGGGGTGTTCAAAGGGCTTTGTTGTTTCAAACATGTTAATTTTATTTTGGGGTTCACACAACAGACCAGGCAACTGGGCCACCCATTTTTGGTGCCTAGGCTGTTTACATTGCTCTACAACTATGGATGTGCTTGTAGAAAGCCAATGCTTACCTCCCCCCCCTCCGTTTTAAGCCGTATAAATGTTTAAAAACTGAATTGTATTTTTTAGCCTGAGCATCATGGAGGGCAACTTTCTCCACCACACAGACCGGTCACACTGCTGAAATGATATGCTTGAAGAATTTGCTAGAGTGACTGTCTTCCTTGGTTCTTGGTTCAGACTGGCTGGGAATTCAAGCTGGCGAATACGTTTTATCCGTGGAGCCAACCAAAATGATCTCTTGAATAGTCCGGATGCTTATTATTTTCTGCTTGCCTTGACCAAGTCTCATTGCCTGTGACTCTTCTGGGGAACTTCTCGTGCCTGTTTCCAAGACATCCCCCACCTCCTTTGGCAGCAGGCCTGGGACACTCTTCTCTTCATCCACATTTGCATCTGGAGTTCTGGCCAGCGGACTTCGTGGCCTGATGGTTCCCAGCCATTCCGCTCTCAGCTTCCGGAAGCTTGGACTGGGGCCCTCCTCAACCTTTCTGGAGGTCTCTCAAAGGTAGCAACAAAAGTAATGAGAAGCTACTCTGATTCCTCTGATGGACACTTCTCAACAAAGTTTATATACTGGATGGGTGAAAGATAAATGGAGATATTCTGGCAAACGCCTGGACCAGTTACAGCAGCTTAGCCAGACACATGTTAAGCATGGAAGGGCAGCAAATTGTTAATAACAACAGGAATTTTCTGCCTTAGGAGCCAAAATTACTTGGCTGGCCTTTGTACCTTGACTTGGGAACCATGAGGAAAGGCATAAATTTGCTACTCTGCTACCAATGACAACATGTCTGAAGCCATTCTTAATAACAGCAACACTAATCCAAAAGCCTTCTGGAACCGGGTAGCTAAAAAGCGTTGGAAATCCGGGATGCGTGGGTATGCGTGTGCACGTGTGTGAGAAGGCTTGTAAACTTGGTCCTGATTGTGATCAAAATCAGAAGTACCCCATTCCTTAATCCTCAGCACTTCTCTGCCTGCCACCAACAGAGGAGGCCCAGCAGACCTCCGGTTCCGGTTCACCCTTCCCGGCAATACGACGCTCAAGACAGGGGAACTGCCCGACCACTCTAGAGGAGCTGGCATTCAAAACCCCGAGAAAATCTTTGGCGTCTGCAAGTAAGCCTGGAAAGACACCTTGATAACATCCGCAGCCGCTATTATCCATGCAGGCCACACTGAATTAGAGTTGACTGGCAGGAAAAAAGCTCCTTTATCACTTAGATAAGATCACTACTGTATCGAAGTGATAAGAGCTAATCAGAAAATCTTGTTAGTGAAAAAGTGGTTTGATATTTCTAAGTATGCATGGGAGTGAACAGCTCAAATGCTTATTCCTTTAAGTGTTTACACAACCTTTTTTCTAAGGCACCCAGCGCAACATTTTTGTGTAGAACATCAATGCAAGGGTTGATTATTCACGTAGCAACCCTAAGCTTGACCCACTTGCTTTGTCTTTTTTAATGTACATTTTAGAAGCAGAAAAAGGCACAAATTTACAACAGTGGGATCTATACAATAACTAGTTGATGGTATTTGGATAAGGATATAAGTAAAATGCAGGGCTCCAAAGGAGTACAGGCAGAAGTACTTTTTAAACATTCCCAGTGGTTGTTAGAGAAGGTTCGCGGAATCCCTTCCCATGCTCAAAAAAGTTGTGTGCAAGGGCGTAATTATAAGACCATATACCCAATGGTTTGCATAAATTATGGTAAATCTGTAATACTGCCCTACGCGCGTCACTGGGACATGGGGAATAAAGACAACTAGAACTTAAACACCGCATACTTAATTGAAACACATGCGTATGTGCCAAAGAAACGTTTTTCTAGAGCAGGTGGTAAAGGATGCAGTACGGAACCGCTGGCTGTTCCTGCCCTCCGTGATTTTCAAAAAGCCCCACGGGAGTGACAGATGTGTAAGTGCAGGGCCAAACTTGCAGGATCGCCAGTAGGCATGTGGGGCAGTGAAACAGAGTGGGGGAGAGAAGAAGGGGAAAGGAAATCAAATAGAAAGGGCACTTTCAAGATTTGGGAATTCTTACATTATTTTTTCCAAAAACCTGTGATCGCCCACAATCTAATCCCACGAGACAATCTTATCTAGTCAGATCTGTTAGACACACAATCACAGCTTAGAGTCTGTAGCAAGCTATTGCTCGGATTACACCACCATCCTACACAGTGAAAAATGAAGCAAGCTGGACCAGGGATATCTGGGGACAAGGACGGACGCCACCCTTGCGGTTCCAATCAAAGCTCCTCCTGGACCAAGCTGCTTCTGTATCACAGGTCCCATCTTTGCTTTCAGAGCTGCCCGGTTTAAAACAGCTGCCCACCATGATTTGCTTGTGTTTTTGTGTCTTGTGTATCCAGTGACCATGGCTTAGTAATCATAGCTTAGGGCTGTGAGGTTTATTGAATAAACTATAATTAAGCAAACCATGGCTTAGAATGATACATGAACCCAGTCATGGTCACAAAAGCCAGGTCCCGCAGCAGATTCAGGTGCCAAGGCTGCCCACCTTCTGCTCTGGCGCCACAATTTCTGTCATTAATGACATTATCCCTGGCATGACGGGTTCTTGCATACTGCAATTAACCATCTTGGGACGGAACAGGCTTTGTTACATATTGTTGTATTCATTCTATGGTTGCATCGGCTTTGCTGTTGTGTCTTTCAACTAAAGGGGTCCATCCAGTCATAAACAAATAAATAAAATGCACTAGCTCGTCTTTCAGGGTGATATGCGCCATCAGTGCCCCGAAGAGAACAAGCAGGCCTGTCTCCATACGGAAAAAGAAAGCCGTATCAGAAGTCGGGATGCTGTAGGCAAGGACTGAACCACAAGCGATATAGCATTTCATCTCTAGCTCCTTGGCTTTGAACAAGACATAAGGTCATACACCTACACACACGTGTTAATCTGCTTACCAACGCAAGGAGGACTCTGTTATAAATGCCACGGGGTTATGAGTGGCTATGCTTTTGTCCTTACCACATTTCATTTTTTCCTCTGTCCTCCTTGGTCACAACTCACCCCCCAGCCCTGCTATTTTTACCTCTAATTAGAATGGGATTAAATCTGCAGGGCAACTAGGAGGTTATGAGGGAATGAACCAAGCCAAATTGCATGGAAAATGTTTTTCAGTGGCTGGGGACTCTTGGAAGTGTAGTCCTACCACATCAGGTTAGGGAAAGTTGCACAGAGACCACAAAGCACTTCTCCAGATGTGGAAGGCACTTTTAGGAAAAGCTGTTCCTTATCCAGATGAACAAGCCTTTCCCTTCACTACAGAATATCCTAGGGGGCAAGGAATTGTCTCCGTTGAATTAGCGTACTTCTTCCTGATTAAGCCAGAAAACCACTAGCCATTGTGGGGAGAGGAAGAAACACATACCACATTAGCTCTGGACAGGCAGATACGCTGCTGGTGCAACAGAACGGTGCATTGTAATAGCTGCAATTTAATTTTTATCGCCAGGGCATATTTGCTTTCGGCCTGACCTATACAGAGGAAAGCCCCTTCTAATTATAACAGAGCAGCAAGAATTCGTTCAGGTTTCCCCAAATGCTCTGGATTGCTGGGCTATTGACTGCAGCGGTTTAAAAAAAAAAATAGAGAAAAAATTATTTATGTAGGAGAAGGGAAGAAGAA